AGGATGTCCAAGATCAAATACTATTGATCTGGAAACACCCTGTACAAGTTATAAAATAGTTATATGACTACTTTATAATTACCCTGTTCAGCTGTATAAATTACTACAGGGTATCCTCACTTACAAGATCTCAAGTTGCAACGTTCAAGTCGCTTACATCGTTCAATTTTAACAACAGCACCCCTTCGAGTAATACTCAAAACATCAATTTATCAAGGTAAAGTCGCATAATCAGTGTTTAATACAACTTCAGCACTGACTAAAAATTAAGCAATTGTTTTTTTCATGTATGTGAATTAGGTATATTTTATGTAATTAATCCCAATTCATATAAAATACTAACAAATTTATGTATCTAAAGCTAGATTGTATTGGAAACATATAAATATCCAATCCCATTTTAATTAACAATTATTAGTTGCACTGATTTATTTGGTATTATAAAAATTGCATTGTATGTTTATAAAAGATGAATAATATAAAAATGCTATTCAAAACACATGATAGAAAAGAATGCAATATGATTTCAGGAATATTGCTGTTGGACCTGATAAGCTCTCACATAATACCTTATTATCCTTTCTTCGCACTTAATATTCCTATATATGTTTCTTTTACATTTTTACATTTTATTTTTTAATGAAAGCATCATTTAATATTCTGCTTGTTTTATTTTTGCTCGTTTTTAGGCAGTACGATTAATAAATTAATACGTATCACACATGCACTGCACTAATTTGCACTTTCATTTCTATTACTTCACAACCGTATGTATTTCGAGAATAGGTAACATTCCTTAAACAACAAAATTATTAGCAACAAGTAACATTGAAGTCTACGTAAGCAATCTTTAAAAAATAACAATAAATTTAAAACACAGACCTTGCATTGCAAGCACATAATAAAGCAATAAAAGTTTTTTTGAATGCCGTATAGCATTCCTTTGTGTAATAGGAACTACATGCATATCATTTCAAGTATCTAATTATAAATGTATGCAAAACTTATATTAATATTTTCTTATAATATCTTTTGAGTATCAGCATTTTTATATCTCTAATATTTTATTTATTTTGCTTTTTATCTGCATGGTTTTGTATTTTTCACAATATTATAAATCGTCATAAATGTTCCTGGAATACATATCTCCTTCAACTGGCAATCTCTACTAAACTTCCTAAGTCTACAATAGCTACGATAGGTAATTAACAATATGCACTTGTGTTACGAGATTGTTACAACATTCGAATGACATCGCAATTATTGATTAGACATTCCTCTTACTATGCTGACTCCACATAATATGCAATGTATAAGCTGTACGCGCACAGTGTTTGGAAGATCTTTACTTTGACGATAATTATTAATTTTAATATAATCGATTAAGAAATTCAATCGTTTATCTATTCAATTATAAGTTGTACTATTCAATTGCTAGTAGTTTATCTTTCCTGTCTAGTTACAATTTTCTTTTTTAATTCGTAATCATCTTTAATTCTGGATATTTTTGATGTTTAGGAATAATTCTGTGCGTTCGCACATCTTGTCAACGGCCTCTTTGCAAAAGGCATTGGGAAATTCGAATTCGGGAACATATAAAAAGAAGGATTCGAAGCGTAGAAGTTCGCGGAAGAGTGATTCTGCTACAGTAACGAAAACCGATCAACCGACCAGCCAATGGTACACCACAACTGAAATATCTCAATCTTTATTTCAACAGGGAACATCGTCTATCACATCATTAATATCTAATTTACACTCAACGCATGTATTTGAGCTTCGACAAGAGGTAAAGATCTTACATTTAATATTGATTGCGACTTAAAAATAAATAAAACAATTATATATATATATATATATATATATAGAATATGTTTCATTGCACACAGCTCACACCAAAACGTCCCCTAAGATCGGAAGTAGAAAAAGAACGAAGAATGAGTAATCGTTGGTCTGGTCAATCTCAGCATTATCTAAGAAATATCAATAACGGTCTAGAATCAAGTGGTTTGGGAAAAGGAAATAGAGATAGCGTCGGCACAACTGACAGTACTGCGTCCGAAGACGATCCACCGCCACCTCTACCGATTAAAATGCGCGAAGCTGATTATTGCAACCTTCCGGAGGAACTGGCTACCAATCGATGTGCAGTCACTTTGAATAATCTGAATAAATCTTCGGGACAGTGCAAGAACAAGTTGCCGACGCCTACCGACGACGATCTGGACGATCACTCTAAACCGCCGACACCACCACCAAAACCGAAAAGACCGGTTCACAATTTAAACAAGAATACGCTTGCCTCCAATGACGTTGAAAGTTCAGTTGTCGAGGATTCGTCGACTGCATAACGTAATGTGAAATCCTGCAGACGCCTCATGTTGTCCACCTTGCCAAAAGATGGGAGAATAAGCGTCTATCCATAAGCATTGTAAAAGCATTTTCCATTGATTTTTATATCGTCAATTTTCAAAAGAGTTACCATTCATTAGAATTAGCATTCTAGTATATTTCTTTGTGCCTTTCTTTCGCAATTTAGGATAAGTGAATAAGTATATGCTACTGAAACAAGATTACTCTGACAACAAAAGATATTAGTTTATCTGTACTGAACGAGTAATGTTATTGAAAAGAATCCAAAAATTAGTACAGATTTAAAGACATATTTTACAATTTATAATGCACATATGTGACAAGAATTATAACGACGATCATAATCTAATACTATATCAATGCATCTATTGTATTTCTATTCTTATATACAGCGAAGCTTTTTTGCTAGATTCCAAAAAATATGAGATTTTTATAACACTATCAATAGAAAAGGATGAAATTTGTGCTTAAAGGTGAAAATTGTGAAATTTGCTTTTAACAATAGTTCACCCTAAGTATATTTTTATCGAACATTTTAATATTGCTTCATTGCAAACCTGCTTGCTGTATATCATTATAATGCATAATCTATTGTAGTAACGTCCATTTTTTCGATCAAAGACTTCATTTCAATATAACTTTAAATATATTTATATATATTTATGAAAAATATATTTTTTATAAATTTTGATATAAAACGTATACAGACAATATAGCTTTAATTATAATAAAAATTTTGGAACTTTTTTACATTTTATACTGACCACACTTTTGAACAATTTGCTATCGCTAATAATAATACGAATGATATCCATTAAATATAATGAGAACAAGTAACATTTTGCATATATTTGTTATAATATTTTAATTTATTTCCTAATATTCATAAATTTGATTTCTTTTTTATAGCATAGGTTACGAATGTTTTGAAATGTTGATTTCTTTATCTTAATTGATTAATCACATGCTTCAAAGTGTTCCTAACTAAATGAACCGTAATAACAATTATCGCAGTAATTATAGTTTAATATGGTTATTTAAACATTACCAAGAGCCATTGTGATCTAGTGGTAAAACAATTTATGTGTTAATGTTTATATAAATCATTCTTGTTAACAGCGAGACTATACTCTTATATGTTAACTTATTTTTAAAACTATAGGATATTGAGAGATTATTTGAAAATATATATTCAACGAGAATAAGTATGCAAATGATAATGTATATGCTTTTGCATATTTGTTTCATCCAAATGAATAATGTACTTGTAACAATTATGAGGTTGTAGTACAGTCATATGATACCCATGACAAACTGCTTCCAAATTGAGCACAAAATCATAATAAAAGTTTAAGCGAATTTTACGAGGAGTTATAATCTGTAATCTTATAATCATAAAGACTTTATAAACAGTCAGGGTATTGATGTGCATCGTCTTTTAGTTACGGCATATTCTCAAAATTTACTTATATCAAAAATAGCAAAACTAATTATTTACACAAAACTAATTATTTATGTCTTTCGTTATTATCATTTGAGTCTCATGCCAAAGAGATTAGTGCTTTATTTATTAAAAGCGTTAGAGCATTATATGTATTGCTGAAGAAAAATATTATGTAATATATAGATATTTACATCTAATGCACAAAGAGAGAGATAAAGTAAAAAATAGAGAGAGCTTGATATAGTTTATTCATTACTTATTATAATTAATATAACAAAGATCTGTATTCAAAGTTATTGTTCTTGCGATAGTTCAACTTGTTTAGTTGTTTTCTGGAGAAAATAAATCTCCGAAAAAAAATATATAGCCATATGTTTGAACAAAGCATTTATGAATACAGTTCTTAACTTTGACACCAATTTTGTTATGTAATCGAAGAAATTGACAATATATGGAGCTTAAAAATTAAGAAAAATTAAGAATTGTTGTAATATAGTGCCATTGTTTCCCTAACTATGTAATTAACTTTTATTTAAGAGCCGATGTTTTTATAAACTGAGATAGTTGATTTTTTTTTATTTTTACATATAATATTACAAAATTTTCATATATACACAAAAAATCAATTTTTATTTAGATATTTTAATTAATTTATTTAACTACATTTACATTAACAGATATTAATTATAAACAAGTGACATTCAAAATACTAAATCCATACGTACATACATTTTTTCCATATAAGCTAAGTGATAACAAATATATATACATGCTATATAACAACTTTACTTATAAAAAAAATGAAATAATTTCACATAATCCCCTCCTTTCTTAAGAATTCTTACTGTTTATAATATAAGTGATATAATTATACATATCTACATACATAGATACATACATACATACATACATACATACATACATACATACATACATACATACATACATACATACATACATACATACATACATACATACATACATACATACATACATACATACATCATCATACATACATACATACATACATGCATACATGCATGCATACATGCATACATACATACATACATACATACATACATACATACATACATACATACATACATACATACATACACACGTCGTACATACGTCTCTTATATATTGTAACTAATTATTCGCTATAAAAATAGATTTTATACCGTTTCTTATGAAAAAAATTTCACAATAACATTACAAAGTACTCGATGACATTTAAAGATTTAATTTTACAAAACCGATTTATATACACAAATATGCATATTTAATAATTAATATATTGTGATGTTATGATAAAGATGGAATCGAAAAGTAAATCAACTTTCAACTTACTTTCTTCACAAAATAATACATATCGCTTATTGTAATATTAATCCTTTAAGTAATATTAATCCTTTAAAATTTTTTTCAGAATACTCGAAAAATGAGTAAATAAATTTAAATGTTTTTTATCTCCGAATAACTAAAATTCAATGTTTTTCGATAACAAATATTAATTTAAAAGAGGAGCTTTAAACAAATAAATACTTTCTGAACTATAAATGTTTAAACTTTTAAATAATAGGAATATTAGGCCAAATATTATGAATTATATTATAAATTATGTAACAAGTGCTATGAATTTATAATAGATATCATAATTTAAATTAATAATAAATAACATTTATTATTAATTTCCTAATAGTAACTACACACAATAATGCCATTGATAATAAAATAGCACTTATTTTGAACCTACAATTTAACTTTGGTTGGAAGTGTGAGAAAATATGTTTTTTCATCCTCTTATATATCTTTTTCTTTTGTTTTTAACATAGTCTTCTGAGTTTATCAACACATTAATATATGCGCATGTGTGTGTTACTTATATATTAAATTCATAATATATATTATATTAACATGCATCATAATACAGAGCGCTAAAGTTCACATTCTATGTATGTAAAATATAAAAGTAGAAAAAATATATATATATCTCGAGAAAGATACTATTTAGTTTTAATAGAAAAATAACATAATGCAATCATGTACACAATATTTCTAAGGGACAGGTAATCTGGAGTGCTAAGTTTGCCATTCCGTTAAATTCTTCAGAAAAATGAATAAATATTTATTATTTTCTTTCTTTTTAAAACTACTGCAGCGAAAATTACAACGATTTTTCCTTATTATTTTCATAAAGGAAAATTAATGCATCATCTATTTATATAAATTATTCGACTTCAATTGTCAATTGTAGTATGTATGAATAATCAAAAAGATTTTCGAAGCTACATACACTCACATGCAACAAAGTATCACATATCTCAATATAATTACACATTTCACATATAAATAATAAATTCGTAATGCCTTTGCAATCATCGAACTATTAAAAATTAGCAAATATTACACTTGCACTTCTTTATATGAAAACTCTCAACACATCAGCTACACGACATATTCGTTTAAAAATTACATTAAAAAGTTACATTAACATGATGTATATTACAGTATTTCTCTCTTTCTCTCTCACGCGCGCATTCATCAAAATGTCAATTATTCGTACCTAAAAATTTGCTAAAAAAGTGCAAACTGTTATATTTGCAAAAATATTTATATCTAAAATTTAATAACGAGGACACATATTTTCCTCATTGTAATATATGTGGAAACAATATATGTGTTAAAGGAATTAATTAAATGAAATTATCTTATTCAAACAAATATCGCATAATGCATATTATGAAGCGATGACTAGAAATGATATGCCTATTTATTCGACTTTCAATCGTTTACTGAATTCTTCTTGCTGTTTTTCTCTCCATTCCTTTTTTGGTTTCATCCTCTTCAATTGACCATCCCTATGAAATAAAATAAAACATTTTTTTCTTTTCAGATAGATGAAATTCTCTTACAAAGTTTTAAATCAATATCGAATATACCATTGCAGATCGACAAGACCACCTTGCCGTGCTATCACAGATTTTACTCGATTCGCAAAATCAATAGCACTTTCTCCTTCCTTCTTGTACATTGGAGGGAGATACCACACATCGCAGACAATGGCCCAACTGGACATCATCATATATAAGTATTGCAACATTGAATATCGACTGCTATTCCAAAATGCATCCCCGAATCTTGGATCATACTGTTTTTAAAAAAGCAAACATTTTTAATAAAAAAAAAATGCTTCTTAATAAAATTACATATAAAGATACACATTGATATTGAAATATTAAGAAAAAAATTACTTTTATAGCCACAGGATAAATAACGCTGCCCACTTCAAAACTACCTTTCTTGAATTGCATAACCGATGTATTATTAATACATGTACCTTCCGGAAATATCAATATTGGTGGATTTGTAGGATCTGATACATGTTCTTTTAATCTGCATAAAACACAATAGGCATTAACAGCTGTTTGCAGCTGTTTGCAATACAGAATATGACAGAATATGAAAATAAAATGGCGTTTAAATAATTGTACCTTTTCGCAACTGCTTCTCTGTCTTTGACCTCAGACCGTTCAAACCATATATGTGGAGAGGCACGGGCAAGAGCCCTTTGTAATATTCCTAAGAAACCACCGTGCCTCTGACCTATCTATAATAAGAAATGCAAATAAACCAATGATTTGCATTTAAGAATTATATGTTGTCTTCCAAAAGCCGTATACTTCCTTCGAATGATGCTAAAGGTCAAGATATTTAAAATTAAAAATGCTTACATTAATGTCTATTTAATATTATAATTATTATTTCAATTCAACAATCATATAAAAAGATAAATTATCTCTCAAATTTAATTTTGTTTTAACACGCATTTAATTATTATAATACAGATTTTTAACTTAGTTTTCGTGTATCTAATATTGTATAATGTAAAATTATAATTAAACTATCGATTTGTTTATAGTTTTCGTAATGAAAAATTGATGGCATCGTTGGTAGTACATTAAACCTATAATCATGAAGAATACGATTTTTGGAATATATTGATAGAGCAATCGTGAAGACAACGAAATAATTAAGAATAATGAAATACATCTATGCAGTTATGAAATAACATCGTCCTAATGATGTTTGGAAAAACATAAACTGAAAAGCAAAGCGAGAAATTGTGTTTGTGCAAAAAAGCAGCTGTAAAAAGATCCATATCCATTGGAGGCGTATCGGAAACGTACCAAGGAATAACAGTTATCACACATGAGTACAAGTACGTCAATAGGAGATGTGTGATTAGCTACACATATGCCTCTGACAGGTCGATTCTCTGGATTGTTGTAGGTGATGACTGAAGAGAGAGCACTGGATAAGACAGCAAAGCACATTATGGAGACTTTGTAGTTGAGCCACCGCTTGAAGCTACCCTCAGGAACGTAGCCCACTACTGCAGTACACACTGTCAGCCACATCACCTGTAAACCACAAGCTTTGCACCTGAGAAACGTGGGATTCCCTCTCTATCGTTGCTGAGTAGGTACTACCTGTAAACCAAAGTTACAGGACACGTTACCTGTAACATTTACCAATAATGCGCAACAACTTCTGTACACTAGTAATAAACTTCTAACTTTTGGTCATACAACAAAAGTGAACTGATCGTGTTATTCTGTTGCACGCAATGTGTGAATATGAAAAGATTATTGTACCTTTATATCCAATGTTATTATGGATAAAAAATCCGTATACATAATTTTTATATAAATATAAATGATTATATATAATTATATTAATTTTAAGAATTAATTAAATATATACAAACAAAATGAAATACATAAATATTATGTGCATGTTAATGTACAATATATGTTGTACATTATATATATTGCATATAATATCGTAACTCCGTTCCTCTACCGTTTCCAAGTACAATAAAATGATAAAATGTATAGACAGTACAAAGCGATAGATATTAACAAAAGGGAGATAGTATTCGCTAAATGATATTTGCAAAACAAAGCTGATGTAATGCTTGAAATCTTTCAATTTATAAATATATTGCCTCATCCACGACATATTACCAAAGAGAATGTCGTTTGCGTGGATAAGATGCAGACGTCGAGGGTAGACGTATGATTCGACACGCACACTCCACTATTTTTTGGTTTGTACTCTGGATTGTGGACCGTAATCATACCCGAGATAGAACGGGACATTATCCTGAATGCAATAAGAGAGCCCTGGTTGTTCGCCCAACGTTTTATACGGCCGTTCGGCAGAAAGCCGATCAAAAATGTTACGATTACGAGATACAGTACCTAAGAAGCTTCGATATTAGTATGTATATAATTTGAAATTTAGGCATATACATCTTAATGAACTTTAGATTGAGTTGAAAATCTAAAAATGTGTATTTAAAAATGCGAAAGTATTAAAAACTGCAGTTAACTGCAGTTAACGCAGATTAATATCTATTACCTAAATTTAATTAAGAAGAATTGATTTTATAGCCTAAATAAATAAGATCCTAACGTGAAAAACTACTGATTTTTGCAATTTTCTTATTTTAGCTATTTATTATACGTTCAGCATTATTATTATACACATATTAATATAATATTATTATACACATATCAACAAAATATGAAATAAAAATAAGAACTTACCCCTACAAAACAGATAAATATCCTCAAAGGTAGAAGGAAGCAGTAGCGCATGACGAAACCGAACATCCATATGAAAGTTAACTTCCAGGAAATAAATTCGTAGTATCTATTCGTTCGAGTTAGCAAATTCCAATTCTAGCGATATATTGATAAATTAGTCAAGATTAATCATTATATGCAAATATCAATATAATTATTACAGTCGATAAAATATTACCTTAAGTTCTTCAGCTTCAAAGCGTGAAGTCACTTCATCTTCTATGATAGCTTCGACACCCGATCTGATGTAATCCATACTTATCGGTGCAAATCCAGTTTTTAGAGTCTCAAAGGAGTTTTTTTGATTAAGGCTGTCCTGAAATATTTAGAAATAATTAGTTAATTAAATTTGGCTAATTTAAATTTAATTTTTCTTGAGAATAGAACTCGACAAAAATCTGTCATTTTAAACAATCGATTACGCAAAGTTTCCTCTACAAGCTTACCTCTTTGCCATCAATCAATGTTTCATTATCATTTTTGAGATTGGATCCGTCGACGTGATTCTTGTGATTGTGCACTTCTGGCTCGGGTACTAAGATTAAATCTTTCGATCTGGCTATCACCGAATTGCTCACGCATCCGTTTTGCGTTTTGGATGACTTTACTGTTGAATCCCTTTCCGTATTCGTCGACGATTCACATTCCTCTTCTACGTTCAAATCCTCGTTCGGATTCCGAATACCGTTCTTCTTCTTCACATTTTCTATGTTTTGTCGGCCATACTGTAATATATAGCAAACACAGTTAGTCATAAAATGCATGTATTCACTTCAATTATTTTTGGCTAAGTTTATGGCCTTTTCAGGAAATTATAATTTTTGTTTACGATCTCTCTCTAATACGAACAACTGTTTCTAGAGTTTTAAAGCTTTTATTCTTGGATTCTTTATGCGATAAGCATATATATTGTTATTATATATAAAAAATTATATAAAAAATTGAAATTGAATTCTTGAAAAATTCGGTTTAATTGTAAACACAATTAGACTTAAACATTATTTCTGCTAAAAAATTTGAAGTATTTATGAAATTATATCTAAGGAAACAAAATGAATAATTATCTTAATAAGTAAAATACTAATATGTTCAATTAAAATAAAATAGTTTAAATATTAACCTTAGTTACATAACATATAATAACATAATCATAATTTCATCTCATTTATTTTTATTTCGAGATAAAAAGTTTATTTTTCACATGAAATGTTTTCGCGACTATTACATGAATATAAACGTGCGATAAAGAAAATAAAGATTAAAAAAAGTTATCAATCAAACAATTTGATTTGTATACTTTTGTATACTTGTATACTTTTAGACGCAGTTTATATAATTAATTATTAATTATTTAGAAATAGTTATATTTTATTTTGTTTAAAAATATTATTCGTAATGTAAATGCATTTGATTACCATTATCTAAGATTTTTTAATTCAAGGAGAGGGAAACAAAGCAAAAAGTCGTTTTGCAAGTTGCGTAATAAAAAAAT